AAATTGATACACTCATACCTGATGGCTAAAGGAGATAAACCAATAAGCGAAAATTGCAACTCTGCCATAAAAATGGAACATATTTTAACGGAATGTTGAAAATACGAACAAAGGAGAATATTGAATCAACCTAAGACTATTCAACAATAACTTCACGACTTCATATCTTGCAGAACCACTTTAACTTTTCTAAAAGAAATATGAATAATGAACGTCATATAGGACAATGACTAAAACTATAAGTTGAGCATGATATGTTATACGTTAGGCCCCATTCGAATGTATCTTACAAATCTGGTCGCTAATACCTTAAGGGGGCATGCGACTTTAAATAATACAATTAAAAAAAAAGTATTTCCATTAGATATAGAGGGTACGAATACTTATGGGACTGACTGTATGATTAATGGCTACCAGCATGAACGATGGGATAATTCCTCACATTTGGATACCTTGCTCTTCTCTAAACACGTGCCATCTATTTACGTAAATTAATTTTCAGCATAAAATTAATGAAAAAAAAACTTGAATAAGTCTAGTCGACTTGTGAAAGATTAAAGTTGTAAGCGATTTCGTCTTGTCGCTTCGTGGAAAATCTCGTCTATCGCGATATTAATTAAGGTGTGAAGAATATCGTAGATCGAAAGCACCTCCAGCACCTAGGCTCTCAGCCGTTCTCTTCTATGCCCGTCGCCTCGCTTCAGCGTCGAAGGAATTTTCAAATATTTCCGGGCAGACGCCCGATAAATTCTCGGAGCTGGAAAATATTTCCGATAGCCAACCGACAATCTGCTCACCTTGCGGACCTCCGACGCGAGGACAGCCCTTTTTCTCTCTCTTTCTTCCCCTCTCGCAGAAGAAGAAAACGGAGCCACCATTCCGCCCATACTCCCGAGATGGGATTTAAATTTTACCGTGGATAAGATAAACCGCGACACTTTGGATTTTCGTACTCGTACAGCTTGTAGAGGCGAGAAGAGAGAGAGAGAGGGGAAAAGGGAGAAGGAAAATCGTCGTAAGCGTGAGCTTAAATGGGCGCATAAGTAGACGACTCTTGCGCGCGAACGGCATCCAAAGAATCAAGAAATTTTCTTTGATCTAAAATTCCGCCCTGTCGTTCGCAGGGCTTTTCATCCGCGTTCTTTGAACTGTCCGTTTATCTCTTCCCGGGAGTGTTAACGTTTAAATAAATAACAATATTTCCGACGTTGACGGGCCGACGCGAAAGCGCTTCCCGTCGGAAAACTCGAGGGAATCTTCTTACGTTACACTGCGAGCGTGAGTTCCCAGCTCTCAAGAGGCTCCAAGCCTACAACTTCTTCAATACGAGGACCACGAGGGTTAATTTCAAGATCATCTAAACAGAACCGAGATTCACCTTCCCAAATTTCGTTTTTTCGATCAATCTTTGCGGTATACGCACTTATCACTTCTACATTTTAACGAAACTTTACAGGCTGTTAGAATATTGGAGTAGATCGTTTACCTGTGTCAGTTCAAGTTGGAAGTGTGCCACTACGCTCTTGTATGAACTTACAAGTAACAAATATAGAACTTACAAGTAACCGGCCATATCAATTTAAAAAAATTCTTTTAACCGAACAGTTGTCGTTGCGTTTTATTTCATTTTATCGTCCTAAATGCTTAGTTTCTCGATTCTTTTTTACTCTTTTTCGATTCGTTCTCCTGAATCGACTCGTAAACACGATTCTACAGCGGTTAGGAGCAATTGTAGTTACTCGAGCGGTTCCAGTTGGATGGACCACCCCGTATAAACGCGCGCTTGCTACAAGACCAAGGAGGCCTGAACCGCTCCGTTTATGAAGTGGAAGATAAAATCTCTCGAGTAACTTCCGCTTCTATTGCAATGGTCAAACCGTTACGCGAGACGCGATAGAGGTTTCTGCTTGGTTATCGGTGCCAGCAATTTAGACAGTTTTGTATTTGAATTAGATTCGATCATTCACTGATAGTTAGAAAACTTAATGAGATTTTTTAAATATTATTAGATATGGAAATTAATTCTGTGCCTTTATGGTCAATCATTTGTGACTTTAGTTTAAGTATATACATATAAGTCCAATTGAGTATGTTTAACATAACCCAAGTTTTTACTTGATGATGACCATTGCAATATATGTTTACATACAATATTTGTTAAATAGAAATTTTTTTTTTATTATTCTTCTAGTACATTACAAGTGTACTTGGTACTTGTAATAATTGTTCTACTAAAGTTCATATAGATGCCTTGTAATGTCCATTAGGTTGAGACTTAGAGTGTTGGTGCTGTAATGCAGCAAAATGGAAACCATGTAAAAGTTATAATATAAATGATCGAATATAGGTATACAGAATTAATTTCCACACCTTATAAGTTAAATCTCTGAAAATTAGATAATATTAAATCATCCAAAAGTTATGATATCATATCTAAAGAATAAAAAAGACAAATTTCGAACTATATGCAACACTTACAGTTAGCTAGAAGCAAATAAACTGCTGCGAAACAAGCATACTAAAGGAACAATGCGAGCAATTACTGAACAACTTAATAGAGATACATGTATATAGAGAACCAAGATTTTTTGAATAATATTTATTGTGGCTATTCTCAAGTACTAGCATGTCCAACTATAACGCACACATCGAGTCGTTTCGATACTCGAGCTGAAAGAGCTCGCGATTCGACGCTAACTTTAAATGATAAACGCGAGCTAATTAGAAGCGTGGGCGGCCAGCGGAGAATGTCATTAAATGTAGGAGAAAATTTCTCGGAAGCAGGAGAATTATTCTGGAACTAGGCGTTTCCGAGACGACTGGTTGGTTCGCGGGTATGTGACTGATTTTGTCGCGCGAAGACGCCGCGCGCACCAGAAATTCAGCGGCGCAACGCCGCTTCAAGAGCGTGATTCACGGGTTAGGCAACTTCACGCACGTGTTCCTGGCACACGTCTTTCTTTCCTTGGACGACGGCCAAGTTCCGAAACAGCGTCCCGCGGTGTCTTTAACGACGCTTCGCCTTAATTATCGGGCTCGATGCGACGCGGCAAATTTACGAGGCTGTGCCGCTTTCTACGATCGTGAAAACGGAAAAGGTTCATTGTCGTCCCCCCTGGAGGTGTCGCTCCTCGAACGCGCGCTTTGATTTCTGCTCGCACTCGCCTGCACAATACCTATTAACGCGGTTCCCGTCGGTTCAATGAGCTGAAAACTCTGCGGTGAACCGATCATTTTCTCCCTAATAACGCACCACGAGAACAAATTAAGCTCCTCGCCTATGAGCTTATAGTCAGTCATATAGTACAGTCCCGATTATTGCAGAAAAATCTCGTTCGTCGCATGATGTCGACAAGAGAAGAGGATGATAGCTAAGCAATAAGTTATCGCCAATAATTGACGTTGGGTACAACAGCGCCAATATGTTATGTAGGCTACTCTCATTGCATCGATTACTTCGATTATTCCACACGTTCGAGTCCCAATTTTCTCTAAAAATTAAAGTTCTACCTTGTATCAAAAATACCACATAATTTTTTAAGGAAATAGGTTTCTTTACATGTTTTGATCAGACTCGATCTTGTCACATTGATTTAACATTTGTAAACAAACTTCTGAATGCACAAATTTCCGTGATTTCATCTATTAGATGTATCACGAATTTTCCATTAGTCAAACCTGGACGTTCAATTCTCGTTTATCGAAGTAAATAAATAAATACACAAATAATCAAGCAGGAAAAGATAAGTTATATCACAACTAATTAAAAATTGACCCAACTCGAAGTCATTAAGCAGGCCACTGCCAGCAGACGGTTTTTCGATGGGATGCATGTTTAGTGGCCTGTACTGCAAGGGTATCGTTTAACAGACCACTCGAGTGTGCCTAAAGTAGATCGCTATATTTGTTCCATCCCCTTCGCGTCGGTCGTTTTAAACGTGGAACCATGAGCTGCGCGATTCTCGTTTGCGCGTTAGATGCCGGGTCTAATCTGACCCTATAAAAACTGACTCTTACACATTCTGTGAGCAAGTTTAACCCGAAACTTTCGCATTTCGTTTCATTTGCATTTGAAGCTAAAACTTATTTGTTTCTTTAAATACGAGTAAGACTAATTGCTTGGAGGCGCGAAGGTTTAACATTTTTGAGACTTTTACGATAAAAATCTCATAGTAAAATAATTTTAATATCATGTGCAAGGGAAATTTAATTTTCCTTCCAATGCATATTCCTTCGAGTTAGCGAGTTTGATTTTGATGCGTGCAGGTAGTACAGTGCTGCAGTGATACATTATAGGCAAATAGTTGACAGAATAGTTTTATCAGAAAACAAAACACAAAGGTATTGTATTATCGCAATGTCGCATCCAAGAACGAGGAGTCAATAAGAACACGATTGGTAGGATGCGGGATAGTCCAGTGAGAAAATCGGAAGACTCCCTGTCCAGGAGCCCCGAATTCGAATCCCCGTGCCTTATTTTTCAGCTGGACTCGTATACTATCGAGAGGCATCCTTCTCTACCGCGATTCGATCAGCAATCACTTGTCCCGTCCAAGAAACGTTTCGTGACAGGTCCATTCCTTCTCGAAGAAACATTTCGTTCGATGAAAGCAGTGAATAAAGAACCGATTGGTTTGAATGAACCATCGGTGAAACGTCGCCGAGGAAGGACACAAATGAATTCGATGTGGGAAAGGACGAACGCGGATTGAGCAGAGACGCGACAGGTTACAGGTCACGCGGTTAAACTGTGTTCGGACGAGCGTTTAGAGATGAAAAGACGAGCAGAGGGTAGGGGTGTAGGCAGATAGAGTAGAGTAAAAGGTAAAAGTGGAACGAGAGTCAAAGTGGAAGAGGGGAAAAAATGGGAAGAGGTAGAACGTGGCAGCGGACGCGACCGACAAATAGAGGGAATTAAAAGTAATCACGCACATATTTACGCGGACGATGAACAGAATGGTTGCGTCAACCGCAAAAATGTAACTGCATGCGAGTTGCAGGTGTATGCACTCGAGTGTCGAGCGTGCAACGAGGGTGGCGCGGAGAGAGAGGGAGAGGAGGAAACGGGGGAACGGGTCTCGACGGTTCTGACGTGTTCGCGCACACGAGCGCCGCGGGCCGAGAGAGACGGACCGATCCATGATAAGCGAAGAGGAACGGAGAGGGACGGCTCGTGCTCGGAGAGAGGAAGAGAACCGGAATGGCGGAGGATGAGCCATTCGGAGCGAGAGGCATACACAGGTAGCTTTGCAGTTGAAATTTTCCGATCCGCCCGCGCGTGCACCGTGCATGCCGGGGATGCAATTCGTAACGTTAACAGTTATTTCGACGGAAATCCGTTTTTGGTTTGGGACAGGATCGTCGAATGGAATTTTACGGTAGCCTGTTGTGCATGTTCCTCTGCATTTACCTTCTCTGTGCTAATTGCGCACGTCAATGTCCTTTTTCGACTTTCGCGCTCGAATTTTTTTGTCAATTACCTGTCGTAGATTTCCTTCAACTAGATCCGCTCCATTCATTTTTCATTTGTACTATTCGCCCGACGACTGCCACCGCAGCGGGCTACGTCGTTACTTGAGGGATGTCCATCAATAAGTAGGCAGCTCCATTTTTTCAAATTTTTGGGAAATTAAAAAAGACGTTTCAAAATTCAGATTTTTGAAATTTTCTTTCTTTTTCTTTTTCATGTCACAGCATAGGTACCTAATTATGAAATTACGACTTTTCGGATTCCATCCTTCCTTTTCAGAGTGGTGGAGGGAGGATTAATGTTTGGAGCAGACTCCTTATTGCAATCCGTTCTAAAAAAAAAAAACACCTGAAATTTAAGAGATGTTTCGAACGAAGAGAACACAATTTTCTTTCAGCGCACATGTTTATTTTATTCTCAAACCATTTGGCAATACAAACAAAAAATGCAGAATACAAAAAATCGTAAAATTAGTGCAAAATTCATTCTTTTTCCTGCTCTATCTCCGTCAAGTCGACACCGGATCAGTTTTTCTAGTGATCGGAACTGTCTCCCTATTGCACCACAAAAAAAAGGAACTTCTTAAATCCGTGATTATGTTCTAATCTCTCATTTTCCAAACGTAAATAAAGAACTGATCGATTCCTACCGGTTCTTTCATTTCTTTCGTATACTTACCTTTTTTTTTTTTTTTGTAACAAAATATCAGGACGTATTTGTTGATTTATAATTGAATACGACACACAAAAGCTGCAAGTATTAGTTTGCAAACAGATATCGGATTATGTCCCTCAATTTTTATGTTAGCATTTTCCGAAAGTATTAAATAATTCAGTAAACCACCAGCATTATAGTTATTAATATACTCAACCATTGTAAGTACTAACCATTTGCGTTCCAAATACTATCATTGCTAGCAACGTTATTATTTTTTGATTATAACAATGAAAATTATTAAATTCAGACCGTGCCTGTATTTTCATACCGTACTTATTGTTTCTTCTTTTTTTCTTTTTTATTTTTTGTAAAAATATTGGGATGTATTTTTCAAGAGAGGGCTTAGACTTTTATTTCTCAATTCAACACCAATGGGTACGGAATACATCAAATTTGTCAATTTTTAACTGAAAGTAGACACAATTAAAATTAAACTTGAAAGGTAACGCCGTCGACGCGACAGGCAATATCCATCGCGAGAACTTTTCGAAAGCCCTTTAAAATGCTCGAGACGGTCATGGAACGCGCATGTCTTACACGAGCATGAACCAAGATTATCATAAATCAGAACCGGCCGATACCGTATGCAAGGTACACACACCGTGCGCACCTGTCGCTCCTTGGTAAACATCTGTTAATATAAATATCGCGCGACGTGTCAACGCAGCTAGTAACTCGTTGCTCGAGCTGACACCACTTCTCTGCCAACTGTTCAATTTTTCATCGGTCTTGAACGCAGTCGCGTCGCGTCGCACCGCACCGGATCATTATTAAACTCTAATTAGCGGCGGTATCTCTACGGTCGAACGGAGTATCGTTGAAATTACAGCCAGCGCAAAAGTTAGGGGTTGTCGAGCACGCGTGGGCGGGGGTGGCGTTGTATTGCGTCGATCGCAAATGCGCGCAGTAAATGACACGAGCGCGTTTCGCTTGTTCTACAACGACTCCTGGCCAGTATATGCTCGCGGCGTACCGTGCACATACACATACTTGTGCTGTATGCGTGTGCGCGCACGCGCGGGCTCACGTGTGGCTGCTCGGCCCGCGGGAGTTTCGCGATTACGTATCATTATTCCGCATGGTTGCTCGAGCTCCAACCCCGAGCTATGTTTGCAACTAGATTACCGTTTGTAACGTGTCTCTCTTTCTCTCTTTCCTCTGTTCGCTACGTCTCTCTTTCCATCGCCTCTTCCTGTTTCTCTTTTACACGCCTCTCTATATAACCCTATCTCTCTCTCTCGCGCGCGCGCTTTTTCCCTAGCTTTGCCTCTCGCACTTGCCGTCTCTAATTATTTGCCGCACAGAGGCGAACCTGTTCGCTTCGCGCTCGAGAAACACGCTTGAAATGTGCTTCTTAATGGCGAGCGGGCCAGCTCGAGACAGACTGGTCGGTAATGGCGCAGAAATATCCTCTTTCAGGCCGATAACGCTACTCGTGCGCGATAACTATCGATCTCGAGGAATATGTTTCATCGGGAATGCGAGCAAAGCTTGGGTCGGTCGCGTTTGCTCAAAATATTAGCTCATAGGCAATGATAAGACGGAACTTTTTTATATTTACAGTTTATTCATACGACGATTAATTTCAGAGATAAAAATTGAAAACCTAGAAGACCTTTTTCCTGAAATTCAATTTCTCTGACGAACTTTCAACTTTTCAATTTTTATTTTCGAAACTAAGCATCCCATGAATAAACTGTAAATATAACAAAAGTTTCATCTCATCATCCCCCATAAGCTGATATTTTTTAAACATTCATTTAACGAATACAAATATTTCTCTGAGCCCATTTCTCGTGGGCGTATTTATACACCTTCGCAGTCAAAGGGTTAAGAGTGGCCCTTAACACGTTAACTGTTGACTATAGTCACAGGTGTTATCAAAAGGGTCGAAGTGTGTCTCCGAACATTGCGCAATGGCGGCAATCGTAATCGCAAATAGGAATACGATTGTAATCGAATGTTTTCGACTTGTGATTACGATTATGATTGTAATCGTATTCGTAATCGCAACTCGGAAAGATCCGATTACAATCGTAATCGTAATCACAACTCGAAAACATTCAATTACAATCGTATTCGTATTTGCGATTACGATTTTGCCCATCACTGGTCTCCTGTCCATCCTAGAAAAACGAATGCAACGTCGAAGCCCACGCAACGGAAAGAGGACGGGCGATCGCGCGATCGTGTGCAGCCGATCGGTGGTTTTTCATTTGATCGCGAGTGCTCTCGGGAATGTTTCAGCCAGCGTCTTCGGTGAAATTTCTTTTCAGGAGAATGAAAGGATCTCTCGCGCAGGTAGATGTCGGAGGCGGGCACGATTACCATGAGAATGGCAAACTCGTTAGGCTGCCGATGCCGGTCCAGCGACGTTGACCGTGCGGAAGTAAAAGCAGGGCGGAACAATGTTGCCATCGAACGACGTGCCTTTGGCATTGGAGGTCGAAGTCGCCACTATTAGATTGAGGTTCGGCGGTGGGCACGACCGCCGCCGCGCCGCGCCGTCGCATCGGTTTACAATATCGTAAATCGCTTGCTAACCAGTTGGCCCCGCGGTATGGTAGGAATTCGACTGGTACTCCTCTCCTCCTCTCTTCTCTCTTCTCTCGCTCTCTGTCTCGCTTTCTTCGCCTGTCTTTCCCCCTTCCGCTCGTTCTATCCGTATATACATGTGATTGAATAGGAAGATATAGAGAAGTGGGCTAGTCGTGGGTGGAGGGAGAGGGCAGGGAATACTCTTGACTCTCGGCGCAGCCGAACGTTGTCATGCATCGTTTACAAGCCGAGCATCTCCGTTCTTGCGGCCGAACGGCCAAATTCACTTGCTGCTGTTATGCACCCTTGAATGGACCACGAGATATTCCTAGCTGCGAATGCTTCCACGATCTTCCTCGAACGATCGCCTCCCTTCTAATTTGGTCTCTATCGTAACGGGGCTCGCGATACTGGAATATCAGCCGCGAGACATGCCTCGGGTAATTAACATAATTGCACGATTCCAGCCCCGGCTACTGGGATTTCTAGTGTATCTCGCGATGCACGCTTCGTCTCGACTACGTAACGCGATACTTTAGTTAAGCGACACTCACTTTTCGAATGTTAGACTTGCTATTAGTAGCGCCAAGCACGTGGCTAAGATCAACCATTTTTCTCTGGTCGACCAGCAGGTTGACCAAACCTGTGGATAAATCTGATGAAAACCTATTCTTATAATGAAACACTGAAATATGCATTACGTAGACTGACAAGTAATGGCATTTCTTTTACATAATATCCAACAAATTTTTAATAAACTTCTATTTTTACTCAATTAGGAAATCGCCCTCGTTATCAACAATCTCTTGCCATCTAGTATCCAAATTTTCAATGCCAGATCGATAAAAATGAACGAGCTGATGAGTGATAAACAAGTGTTTAATATTGCAAAAACGATATTACTTTCCAGCCAACCTAACACATTGTAGATTGTGTTGATATCTATGTTACTTTTATACACAGTTATTTTCGAGGAAAAGGGTGTACGAAATCCACAAGTTTCTCTACGATAAATGAATAGTAAGATGATCCGGGATCGGATATCTCGATGAGACAATGCTAATGCAACGATCAACATTTTTTTTATTATTATCGTTTTTGTTGTAAAATTGTTACCATCGTGTTCCTGACATTTTTCTGATTAAAACGAGACCAAACACGACGTAATTCGCATCATATTTACTACATGTCTCACCGAAATAATCCCGGTGTTGGTCGCCATTCTCGCATGTCGCTCCGTCCTCTTCTTCATTCGCTGTCCTTCTCTACACTCGAAGTTTGTTGGCAAAACATTAGGAGATACAGTATCGACTGAAGGACGCATGCAAAATCGGAGACCCAAAACATTGCACTCGAGTGTTTTTATGTGTTTACACTTGACTCGGAGTCGAGCGTCGAACGTAGGAAAGGACAGATAGTGAAAGAGAAAGAGGTCAGAAGCGTATCAATCGGTTCAGATCATATTTCACCGGTGGTCGGGGCTACTCGGGCGAAACTACGGGCAAAAGAAATATGA